TGCCATCTGTAACAGAAGAAATCAGCAGAGTGGAAATAAGATGAACTGCAAGGGAAACTGAATACTATACTCACCAAGAAATGAATCAACCAGACTATAGCTTTTTTAAATTAAAAAGGCTTTTTTTGTTGTTGGATTTAAGCTAACGCAAAGTGTATTACATTATTAACTATTTGTTATCAAATTAGTAAAAACTTGTTGCTTGTGATAATGCTAAGATTCAAGTATAGCCATGAGTTAAAGAGTCCTTTTAACTACTTAACATTGATAGGAAATAGTAGTAATTTCAAAATTATTTACCTTCAGGAACCATTTTAACAAGCAGGCCTTTTAAATGCCTATTCTCTCTGACAGTTCAATTTCCGTTTAAACTTACCTTAAAATGAACTAAAACTAAAATATAACCAGAAAGTATATTGTAACACTGGTAAATACAGTGAGTCAGTCCTACAGTTCTTAACAAGTTGTGTATTCTACAGTAAGACCACAGATAGAACTCATAGGACCCAAATATAACTCACCCCTTTCTTCCCCTCAACATCACCTACCATTAAATCCAAGAAAATAATCCTTGAGACAAGGACTTTTTTTATATAAAATTAACATACTAGCAACCAGTTTGGCAGAGTAAATGGCAGTGAAGGGATCTCTTAACATTGAGAAATGTCATGTATCCTAAGTAACATTTGTGATTATACAATACTGCTCTAAATCCTTAAGGTGTTTGGAAAACACAACTTGGCCTTCAGCATGACATTCTTTATCATTCAGTCCTTTCCCTAGAGGTACAAATTTCGATACACAAGTGGGAATAGCATTTCACTAGTTAAGATTAGAAATTGTTTTCATAATGTTCATTTTATCCCCCAGTTTTAAAAGATATTTCATATTTATTTGGTCTTTACATTCCAAAGCATTAAGACAAATAGTGTCCAGTCTCAAAACTCTTTAATTCCCATAAAAGAAAATTTCTGATTTTGCCCCTTTAAATCCATTGTGGAAACTGAAGGGTTTATGTATCTTAAATAATAATGAAGAGAAAATAATTCTATAGTAAAGATGTTTTGCTGCACTATCATCGTGGAATGAAAATACTGTAACTTGCATTGTAACAAGCAACATGCAAAAAGCAAGCATTTGCTGCCAGCTACATGATACATGGATAAAGTAAGTACACTGACTTAAAACTGATGCAAAGAAAGGAGTTGGTATATCAGCTCCAAAGGGGAAAGCCAAAAAAAAAAAGTGTGCCTTTCCTAGCTGTTTAAAAGTTACTTAAAAAAAAAAAAAACTACCAATATAACTGAGAAGGAAACAGGGAACAAAAAATACTGCATGCACCATTAATTAACATTTTCTTGCATTCTGCTGAAACAAACACCTCTAGTTTTGTCAGTTTTGTGCCCACATAAGTTAATTTTTTTTTTCCAATTTAACATTTCATACTCTCTAGTGAAGTTAAATTCTGTGGTTATTCTAAACAACAATAAACGGCATGGCCAGAAGGACAGGAGTTGAACTTATGGGTCCATGTGTGATTTTTAAATACACATTTTTACTCATGAGATCGGCCTTGAAATGCAAAGCATTTATGTACTTTTTTTTTTTTTTTTTTACTTTTAAGACACTACTACCCTTACATGCTTAGTTTTCTTGGAATTTTATATACTTTTCTTTCACTTGAACTTCTGACCTCTGAAATGTCTTTTTCAAGAATGTAAGTTCTACTATGCCCCTCAGTTTTCTTAATAGGAACCTAATTTTCCATTTTAGATATAATTCTACCATCTAAAATTAATCTTTGTATTATAACTTAGAAGTTATGAATAATTGCTTTAGCATAATAATTATTTCCAAGATTTAATAAATTGAATGATGATTAAATCAGGCATTTCCCTCAAAATAAGGGAGAATCATCACCCTAGAAATTACCTAAAAACTGGAACAAATTTTTTCCTTTATTCCAAGACTACTACATATTTCTGACCTTTTAAATATGTAGGATTGGGAGGGGTTTGGGTTTTGGGTGTGGGTTTTTTGTTTTGTTTTCCCAAACTCTGCCTATCTTTTAAATAGTTTTTAAAATTGTTTCCTACTGTGCTTGGCAAAAAAAAGTACTCTTAAAAGATGCAAAAATTTTTTCTTTCAAATAACAGTATAGTGGGAATCTTTAGGACTCTGGACATACACACCCACAGTAGTCTTTCTTCCTCATATACACCAATAAATTACTTCAAATGCAGTGGGAAACTACAGCACTTATTTGTGAATGAGATCACATTCAATTAGTCACTCTTTGTCTTTTTTCTCAAGAAAAATAAAAACTGATCCCAAACATATTAAAAGTACATATGTGCATTAAATCCCTGCGTGCTTGACAATGAGAGGAAAAAGTCTAACATGTTCTAGTGCTCAATGTAAACATTTTAAGCTCTTAATAATTTTTAAATTTCCCTTAAAGGTACTTAGGAGTGTGTCACATTTCCAAAATTAATCTTAGGAATAGCACCATGACCAAAAGAAATCCATAAGAATGATTCTCTCCATAATTTTTCAATTCTACTTCAAAACCTGAGAACTTTATTGGCTTGATAGCTTTCTTTTAAAAAGCACTGACAGACATGCTTTTAAAGTCACCAGGTTCAATTCTTATTTTTCTTACTATTCAAAATCCTGCTTCCATACAAAGGGTCTAACCACTTTGGACAAACTGAGAAATTACTAACTGGCTGGCTAGACTTAACCAGTTAATTCAGTCCAAAGGATGATTATAGTTCTATTAATGAAGCATAACCCATCAAAATAAACTCTTACAAAAAAATCTTTATGAATGTATATACTATACTTTTTATGGATTTTTGGTACCTTTTTTGCAAAAGATGGTAAACATGAAGTCATAACCCTGAGAACAGCTATATAACAGAGAAGTTTAAGAAAAGTTTAAATAAGTTAATGCTACTGACATCTATCCCAAGTTCCAAAAATTAAGGAGGGGGATTCCATGAATATTTGTAGGTCAATTATCATGTATCAGCCACCTGTCTACTATATATACTGAACACTAACTTTGCAGAGTATTATGGTTGTGAAATACGGGCAACTGTCTACACAAATAAATGAGAGGTAGATTTACCACCTATCTGAGTTGTACTGTCCAAAAATGCTGTTCCCCTTGCATTAGAATAGAAAGAAAAGAGCTTCTTAACAAGTCAAATGGAGCCAATAACTAAAAATTAAAATTACTTAATACTCTAATACTGCCAACAAAGTGCCAAATTCTTTTCTGTACCTGCTACCACGCAGACAGAGGAGGAGTCAAGGGTTAACTTTTGTCTGAAACCAAAAACAATTAGGACAAAATATAACTTAAAAGATGGTGGTATTCTAACATATCCCCCTCAATTATTAAATAAATATGTAAACCATTCAGATCAACTCTTCAGGCACAAATAAGCTTAAAATGGCCAGCTCCTCTGTCAAACAAAATATTTGGCTTAAAAATTGATGAACTATGATGAAAGGGTTTTGGGGAGGCAAGGTTTTTGTAAATGGATTCCGAAATTACTTTCCCATAAAAATATGACAGTTTCTTAAAATTTGGAGGAGAAGTAAAAAAGAAAGATACACTTAGTTATCCCCAGCAAAAAAACTTAGAAATTACTTGGCAGCAATTAATGAAAACAGAGATGGAGAATGGCACTTAACTGTTTTCCTATGTTGTTGAGATTTTTAACTGCACTCTCAACAAAAGTCAACTCTACAATCAGTAGTGTGGGAGAATCTACAAAGACCTTAAATACTCTATTAGCCCTGTACACACTACTATTAAAATACACACTCACACTCTCTTATGCTAGGTCTAAGGCACACAAACTCCTCTATTTCACAGAATAAGACTATGCAATAGCAACATTTTGGTTAAATTCTTCAGATAGAAACCAAGAGATCTTGGATAAAGATAAATCAGATACATTTTGTTAGTGCACAATTTAAAAGAAAATGCTACAACTATGCTCTGGCCTTAAAAGGTTTAAAAAATACACTTAAACGTTTTTAAAAAAATAATAATTTACCAGCAGTTTATAAATTCAAGTTTATAAAATAAAAGTGATCATGTTTTCCTTAAGAAAAAAAGATTCAACAGCACTTAAGAAGAAAACTGAAAACCATTTCATTGAAAATGACCAAATGTGATATAATGTATTCTACTGAAGTTTCCAACAAAGTTTTAGCAGAAAAGGGAGGGAGGGAGAAGTGGTAGGTACCATGCCTACTAATCATGGTTATGCGTCCCATGATTATAATGTCAGTATGTACATAATATTTATCAAAAATCTGTAAACATAAGTCATGAAATTGTTCTACAACTATGGAGCGGGGGGTCAGAAGCAACCACCTCTTGACAAATTAAAAAAAATATATATGAACTGCATGACATTTACTACCATAAAAGTAATGCTCAAGGGTTTTGATAACCAGGATGTCTAGTGTTAAACAGATTTTAAACTCTTGTTGTATGTAGTCAAATACTGTCAAAAGTAGATTTGCCCCCACAATGAAGCACATTTTGGCACCTGTGCTGAATGCTGCTACAAAAGCAAGCGAGTGCAAATAAAAAATAACAGTCATGATTTAGTCACATTCATAACTTTTCATAGAAAAATATAAATATATTCCCTGAATTGTAGGACAAAAAATAATTTCAACAACCAGTTTTCACCATATACTCCAATCCATTTTCTCTTGAAATGAACTGGTTTTCCCTCAAGGTCATAAGGTGCAGTCCTCTAACACATTTTCTAAGGTTCTGTCATCATCCCCATCATGGTATCTCACAGTCCTTCTACCCTGATTTCTAGTTTTTATTTTTGAACGCCGAAGAACTCTTTTAGATTTTGCATAGTCCAAATCCTCCCAGTCATTGTCATCCACACTTAACCTAGGTCGCTTGCTTTGTCTTTGTCTCACAGTTTTAGATACAGTAGCTGTAAAAGTTTTACCTTTTCTAACTATTTTTGCTTTTCCTTTCCTTTTCCTCCTTTTGGTTTTTGTATCATCACTACAGTCAATATCTGATTCAGTGACAGATCCCAGATCTGAATCAGATTTGAGATTTGTGTCAGGTCCACACTCTGAATTCCCTTTCGTCTCAGAAATTTCCACATTTTCCAATTCAGGATGCCGTCTCTTCCTTTTGGTTTCTATTTCTCCTGCTTGCTGTGAATCATGAACCACTTTTGTTTTGCTGAAAGGCGCCTTTCCGTAGGTCCTGAGTCTTCTGCCATTCCACCTGCGAAGGCCATAATTCAGTTCCTCTTCAAAGTTATTTTCTACAGGAGCTTTATGTGCCAAAGTTGATGCAGAAGAAAATTTCCTGCCAGTCTTATTCTGTGAAATATGGCTTTTTGAATATTCTTCTGAAGATACAATCAAGGAATTTTTTGATTTAGAATGGGCAGCATTTGTTTTATGACTTCTAATATGCTTGTTCTCGTGTTCTGAATTCAAAATACTTTCTGAGTCTGAGTCTTCCTTGAAAGACTGATTAATACTTTTTGTACTACCTTCTGAGTCAGCTTCAGGTGGCTTACCTTCACAGGCATACCGTTCACTTGGCACTTCACAGTTTGGATCTCCCTCAGAATCACTCAACAACTTAGATGTAGTACAGGCTGAACGGAGGGTCTTTTTCCTTTGATTTTTGTTTACAGTACATAGATTTTCTACACTGACATCTTCTACATTACTCATTAGCTTGATCTTGTTGGCAGCTGAAGTTGCACATTTTCGAGGAGTCCTAAGGAGACCTGTTCTGCTTTTCAGTGATTTAACCATCTTTAAATTGCTGTCTGAATCACTGGAACAGACCCGTTTCCTGGAAACTTTCTGGTTGTGTCCACTGTCTTGCGATGCAGAATCTAAAAATTAAAAGTACTCTTTTAATTTCCAACAAAACAGTAGTAAATCTAAAGGACAGAAATTAAACAACATTTAAAAAGTTAACAAGAACTACCTGCAAAGTTTGATAGGTTCACTTGTTCAACAACTGACCTCAAAACTTCTCATTAGCTTGGAAGGAGAAGGTACTGAACAGGCAGGGTCAAAATCTCTTCGTATTTTACAAAAGTTACTTTTTCAGCATTAGCAGCATTCCTAAGTTCCAACATATTCTCATCAGGGACATCCTATACCTCCCATCTAAATATACAAAGAACTTGACACCAAAACACTATTTTATTAACAATATAGATTTAACAGAAAGCTCTGGTGGCCTGGTGTTAAGAAACTGCTGCAACTCCAAAGGCACATGGTTCAAAACCACCAGCTGCTCCGTGGGAAAATGGCCAATCTCCTCTGCAATTGCTTCTAAAAACTCATTGGAGGATCAGCTATGGTTGATTCTGACTTGACAGTACACAACTACAACACAGGTAAAACTGTTTACCACTACACTAGGATAATTTACTCTCAACCTACCTGAACCTCTTCATAATTCCTTTAAGTACCAAACACATCAGGTACTTTTGATCTTAGTTTTATTAGATCTTTAGCAATTTTTATCATTCTCCACTTAACAAGAATACAATCATAATAATTCAGCAATATTGTAGGTGCCATCAAATTGAGTTCAATTTATAGCTAGCTACCCTATGAACAACGAATCTGAACATTGTGCTATCCTGTGACAGTAGCTAGCTCATAAAAGTTACGGAAACAAATAAGTTAACAATTTGAGCACTGAGTAAAAATGCCTGCAACAGTTACAGCTCAGTAGTATTGTTCTGTTAGCTGGAATTACTATGACTTACTACATTCCTTTCAACTAATCTGACCCCTTTCTTTCCTTTTCTCTAAACTGTAAAAAACCATGGCTTCCATACTTGCCTCTGCCTTCTCAAATCTATAGCCCTCCTTATCACCAATACAAGTGAAATTCTAGGTGAAAAGAATTGTTTAGGTCAACACTGACTGTGAGATAAACTAATTATACTTAAGAGGGAGTATATTTAATGCACTTGAGTGGCCTCACAAAGCAGCAGCTATGCTGCCAACCCGAAGGTGGGCGGTTCGAATCCACTAGACAATCTCCTCTGTTGTGATTTATGCCCCATGAAAACCAGCTGGAGGGTCAGTGTGGAGTTCATCTTTCAATATGACTTTTCCTAACCACTGTTTGGTTCTGCTATGTGGATTGGCAAGAATATGTGAATGGGGCATGTTAGCCTAACTACAAAAAACTGGTCATTTTTAACAATCTACAAGAAGACTGGCTAGTCTAGCCATTGAATTGAGCAAGCCAGCAGCAAAAGGCAGACAGATCTTCTGGTGCCACTGAACAAGCAGAGAATATATTCTCTTTCTCCAGCTACCCTACAGCAGCAACACCTATGGCTGAACTGAAGACATAACTTGAGATGGGACCTTAGGAGGGAAAAGCCAATGACTGAAAACTCTCATTGGACAACTGGAGATGGAAAGCCAATATTGACAGGACTGAGAACTTGGGAATACCGGCCTAAAGCCTTTAGGCTGAGTTGCCTGCATGCACATTTTTTGGGAGCTGTCTGCACTGTATTCTGTTATTAATCTGGATTGTAACCTTTTGACTTCCCCAATATGGTTCTCTGTGGTCTGTGAGCTATAGCATTGGATTTTAGACCCGGCAAAGCAGTGAGATTGGTGCTGAGATGAGTAGGAAGAGGTTTGGGAGCATGGGGGTCATATATGCCCTCATGGGAACTGGTTTTGTGTTACTGATGTTGCAGACAAGGACAATTCCCCTTTGAGAAGTTGATAAAAGTCAGATATGGATGTCCCCACAAGGCCCTTGCTCTTTTTATAGTCAGCTCAGAGTTTGAGTTTTGTGTAGTTATTCTGTGATAATCAACAAACATTTATGCATGCACATAGCATCACAATCGATATACAGAAAAGGATAGCAAAGAATGCATGGGGTGGGAAGGTAAACAGCTAGCAAAGAGCAGGGAAAACGAAAATAATTACATATACTATAGGAAAGTAGAAACCAAGCCAGTGAAGCTAGGTTAAATCACTTTTCTTTACCTTTCATAAAACTGTTTGATTTTTCTTTTGTTTTGTCACCATCTGAATCCAAATCTGTTTCAGATACATGCTCTGAAGAACACTGGGACCCAGCAAAAGGCTCACACTTCAAATTTCCTGAAGTTGTATTAGTTTTCATTTTGTGATGTTTTTCATCTTTTCTATCACCATCCTCAGATTCCAAGTCCTCTGAATCACTTAAGATCTTTGTTTTTTTAAAGAAATTAGCATTCTTGCGACATGGGTTGTGTTTCCTACTCTCACATTTCTCTGGTTCAGAATCTGCTTCCTCTTCTTCCTCAGAAATGTTTAATGCCTTCGGTTTCTGCCCAGAGGTTGAAGGGCAAGTGATTCTTTTATGTCCATTATTTAAATCCTTGTTTTTGGAGTCATCCTCGGAAGACTCTAGTTTAAGCAATTTTGTTTTAGGAATTGTTTGAGTGTGGGATTTGTAACCATTAGCATGCCAATTTTTCCGAGCAACTCTCAAATCACTTTCTGACTCAGAATCTTCATATTCAGATTCACAGACAATTTTCCGAGCAACATGAGATGTGGAAATTGATGATGGCTTGTGTTGATCTTTTAGGTCTTCTTCAATATCTGACTTTAAACTCTGATCATCTTCAGAATTATGTAATAACTTTCTTCTAGCTGCAGCAGAAGCATCACGGTGAGGCAACTTGCGGCCAGAGCAGATACTATCAGAGCTAGAATTCTCTTCCACATCACTTATTAGCTTTATCTTATTGGCAGCCACAGCCGCACACTTTCTCAGGACTTTACGGTTATTTCCAGCTCGGCTTTTTATAATTTCCCCAGTCTGTAATGAATTATTATCAGAGTCACTTAAATAGACTCTTTTTCGAGTGGCTTTTCTGCCAGATCCATTTTGTAGAGACACAGGACCTAAAAGTAAAAAAAAATATTAAGAATTAAGAAAATCTGCCTCATTTCAACTGTTTTAATTCCTTTTACCGCTGATATTCTTTATTCAAAATCCATTTCCATTCTAAATTTAAAAAGCATAAAGGATATTAAACCATAAGTAGATGCATTAAATCTATTCTAACTTACAGATTATCATGAGGTATATTATCACCTCGCCCCCTCCCCCATGCCCAAGCACCACTGAATCTCTTACCAGGTTTTCTCTGAGCAGTTCTGGTTCTCATCACTCTGAGGCTGCTGCTCCTGGATGCTCGACTTTGAAATGAAGATTCACAAGGTCCTAGGCTGTCTTTGCTTTCCTCTGAACTATCTGAAGATGATGAAGAGGTAGCTGAAGAATGTTCCGTTTCACTTTCTAAGAAAGTAAGGCATTAATGCTTAATTAAATAAAATCTCAGTAAGCTATTATTTCCATAACAGTAAGCTAAAACGGTTTGAAAATATATATAAAGAGTATATTTTTAAAAGCTACTCCAAAATAAGAACAGATAAAATTCAGAAAATATAATTTATTATATATTTTAGAAACAAATTTCCATTTAAGATTCATTTTTTTTATAACTTAATTCATTTTATTATCCATTTTCTTATGTCAACAAAATAGAGAACATACACAAAGTACAGCATTTCAATACTAATGTATTTAGGTCTTTTTGTAAGTTATTACACGACTGAATCACCTGCCACTCATAGTAACTCTATGAACAGCTTTGAACCCTGCTCTATCCTAAGCCAACTTTATTGTCTCTTATACAACTACCTCCATTACCCTAGTTACTAAGTCAATCTTTTTCATCAAAGGTCTTCTTCTCTTGCGCTATCCCTCCACCCTTCCAAGCATGAAGTCCCTCTCCAAGGACTTGGTCCTTCCTTGCAGTATGCCCAAAGTGTGTCAGATGGAGCTTCAGAATCCTTGCCTCAGCTTAGTTTCACCCTCTCCAGGACAAACCTGTTTGTTCTCCTAACGGTCTATGGTATATTCAGTACTATTCCCCAGCCACCACAGCTCAAAGGCATCAATTCTATCATCCGTAGTCATTATCCACTGTTCTGATGTATATATAGCAAGTAACTGCAAAGACCATGGCCTGGACCATGCACACCTTAGCCCCCAGACTGTACTGTGTGACTTGGGCATAATAGCACAGCAGCTTCCTGCCACCAGGCCACTGGAGCTCTTTTTTGTAAGTAGACTCAATTTAACAGAGAGCTCAGCCTATGGGTAAGGAGTTGCACTGTCAACCCAAAGGCATTCAAAACCACCAGCTGTTCCAAGGGAGAAAGACAGGTAGTCTCTTTTCATGTGATTCACAGCCTCTGAAAACCTGCTAGAGAGTCAGCTATGAGTCAGTCTCCATACCCAGACTGCCTCACTGACAATAACTAATAGTATCCTACTTCTTACCAGATAACACAGAACCAGAAGTTAGTGTTATAGGTCTAGTTCTTCTTCTTCTTCTTTCCAATGATCCTGCCGAATCTGAAGAGTCACCAGAAGTAATACCTGAAGAGATACTAGCACTTGTCTTGTGGCTTGCAGAATAAACTGCCCTACTTGAGGTAGACTGAGTAGGAGATCCTACCAAATCAGGAATTACTTTTGTCTGAGATGCTACCCGATTCTTCCGGACATTTCTGGTGAAAGAAAGAAATGAACAAAGTGAACAATATTAAATAAATATAACCAATTCAGAAAATGACTTAATAAAACCATTAATATATAATTTCTTAAAATGAGAATAATCAAAGACTTATTCATTATTAAAATCTCACTGACATGTCTTATTATTCTAAACGTGATAAATTTATAAATTTGCAAAAGTGAATAAGTTATGTGTTAAATAGTCTATAGGGTGTTACATTGCGAAACAAGTAGCAGTGTTACAGAAAATCAGGTCAATTATCCGAAGTTTTTTAATTAAATGTTAAGAAGAAAGCAATTGAAAAACACAAGCATTCATTCATATTATAAATCAAAGCCCCAGAGGGGAAGGACTTTCCTTTCAAACTCGTTATACATGTTTCTTATTACATTATTCAATTAAAAAATATCAGTCTAACTCACTTGCTTTGGACATTTTATCAGAGATCAAATACTAGTGCAGTGGTGAATTATCATTTTTTTATAAATAATACAAATATTAATACTTTTTTGTCAACTCTGCCCTTCTTCCAGGAGACATTTTTGTGAACTCATTATGTGAACTTTTAAAAATGCTTCCTCAGAAAGGAAAAAGAAATTAGAACTGTGTATTTAACAAAAACAATTTGGGCGGGGTGTAGTAGCAGGAAGGGGGGGGGAGTATGTAGCCTACTATTATTTTCAGAGTAACAGAGTGGCAGACCAGCAAGGTGGACCACTGGTCAGATTCGGCGCAAAAGTCATACAGTGGACTTGGGATATGATTACACAATTCAGGTGTATACAGACCTAGCTAATCACTGTACTCTGAATTTTTTAAAAAATCCATTTCTTACATTAAATATAATGACTTAAATAAACACAGGTGAAACTGATTATGATTTATTAAGTATTTACAAATATATGACTGCTACCTATTCACAGAAAGTATTCAAGCCAAAATCATTCTTTTCCGAAAGTGCTAAGAGTTTCATGTTTCTAGCACAGAAAGTTTAAAAGTCACATAAAAAACATGACATAACCAATTCACCTGATACTTTTCTTAGTCTGACTGAAACGGTTACAATTTTGTCTTCTCTTGAACCTCTGGCTTCTTTGTAGCTTTTCATTAAATTTTTGACCAATTTTAAAGTCAGAGGAGATTTTCTTCATCTTTTCTTCAAATAAAGCAGACAATCTCAAAGTCATACTATAAATCTGTAAGGGTACAAAAGCAAAACTATAAATACAAAGTATCATTTAAAATATTTTAGGAAGAAAATGACTACAATCACTGAAACTACATGAACTCTAGGAGAATAGTAATATACTACTACTCATAGATTATGGTTTTTAGCTACTTGTCACTTCAAGGTCATTCTAAATGAAGCCAGTTCTCTAGAAGCTAGAATTTATGACTTACCTCCATGTGTCACTGATTTTCAAATAGTTTCTCCCATTTTTACATCTGATGTACAAACCTATACATGTACTCCTGTTTTAAAGTTAGGACACTGGCTGGTTTTTAAGGCTGCTATTTATAAGCTCTTAGGAGCAAGAGGTAACAGCACTTTCACAACCATCATCCCTACTTGCAGTTTGAATCTTTGATGCTGCCTACACCTACTGATAAATCATAAACAAAAGTATATTTTGTATCCAGTAAAGAACAAATTTATTTAAAGTTTACTTATGTTTTTGCAAACTTTATAATTAACATCAAGTTTTTTAAGAAAACAATGGGATATAAGCAGTAATGTAAATAAATTTTGTAGAAAAACAATTATAAATAACTTCTGGTAGAACTTTGTATTTATGACTAAATTCCTTCATACTTACTTCTAAAAATAAGTGCAAATATCTAACAGTCAAGAGCTGAATAACAAACTTTTGTATTGTGGACATAGAGAGCATGTAGGGATAAAGAGTCTATTACCAAATTAAAACAACAAAAGGTATACTGAAAAAAATTATGTGCAGATATATGAATGTCTAATATACTTCAAATATGTAAGTTTGTGTTAATATGCAAATTTCTATAATGAATATATGAAATGTATAATCATAGTTTCTCTCTAAAATAAACTTTTTCATATTTCCAGTATTCTGAATATTATTCATCTCTTTCAAATCTATATACCAGCTTAATTAAGTTCAAGGATAAGAAGCATCCAATAAAAAAACAGATTTACCCATTTCAACAAGGTAAGTTAATCCTAAATTTGAAACCTCTGATCTTCGCGCGCGCGCGTGCGTGTGTGTGTATATTTCATATGTTTGGCCATTTGATTTAACGAAAAAACAGTAATAAATCAGAAATGAAAATACTTTAAGAAAAATCTGTCCTAAAACTGAACTGTTATCAAGCACTGCCACCATATAAAAAGCTCAATTTATTTCTTAATCAATATAAATTATGCCTTTCAATTAAGGCTTAGACACATAGTATACAAGGATATACAAAGTACAAGTAACAGTAAAACTGAATCACTTGTACTTATTTTAGCCTCTTACCTATACTCCTCAAATACATATTTTAAACAAATAGAAGATAGGAAATGACATTTATCAGTGGATAAAAAGAGTCTCAGTAAGGTTAATGACACAATTAAATGTTATACTCAGCATGCAGTGAATTGCAAGCAATAATTCAAAATGTGAATAAATTGTTGAATGGTGACCTAATTAGCTCTAAAAACTTTCACTTGACCAATTAAAAGTCAAGAAGCAACTTGAGTACTGAATGCAAAGAAACAATGCTCAATTTGAGACCAGATAATATAATACTAATCAAGGAAGGAAAAGTAGAGTTAAAACAAGAGTTAATCAGTAGTTATTGATTACAGTCACTGATTGTGGCCAGAGTAACATAATTTATCAGACAAACTTTATGTTTAAATCTAACCTTTCAAATTATTTTTTATATTATTTTTGTACCCAGCAAACTAATTATAAAGTTATGGCATGTATAAAAACAATCAAGAAAATTAAATGTGTAATATTTAAGGATTACTAGTCTGGTTTTACGGGTAACTCAATATATAACAAATTAAAATTTTTGGTATTATTTCCTATTCATGTTTTCTTGAAGAAAAAAAATTAGGTGACTCATGTTTCATCTGATTCAAAAAAATTTTCCTCCAGTAATCCAGCTCTCATTTCAGATCTTCCTTTTCATATGAGATATCATCTCACCCCAGTCAAAATAGCAAAATTTAACAGAACAGCAAGCAACAAATGCTGGCGAGGTTGTGGAGAAACTGGAACCCTGATTCACTGTTGGTGGGAGTGTAAAATGGTGCAACCCCTATGGAAAGCAGTATGGCGCTTTCTCAAAAAGTTGCAAATAGAGATACCATTTGACCCAGCAATTCCACTACTGGGAATATAGCCTGAAGAGACCAGAGCTGACATCCAAGCAGATATATGCACACACACGTTTATTGCAGCTTTGTTCACAATAGCAAGGAGTTGGAAACAACCTAAATGCCCATCAACAAACGAATGGCTAGAGAAGCTGTGGTATATTCGCACAATGGAATACTATGATGCATTGAAAAACAAGGAACTCATGCAACATTATTCAAAATGGTTGACTCTGGAGAACATTATGCTGAGTGAAATGTCCCAGTCACAAAGGGACAAATATTGCATGGTGCCACTGTTGTAGAATGGGACTGTCCTTGGGGTTGGGGAGAGACTGAGTAAGAAGGGTTCAATAATGTATGCTGCTCTGAAACAGAGAAGGGAGAAAACTGTTTAAAAGAGATATGTGATAAGGTATTTCTGTTATGACAGGAGTGTAGAGTGATGGCTACATGGTGGAGTGGACCTGGGGGAGGGTTGGTAAAATAATGAAAGAATCTTTTCTTTTACTTTTCCAAGAGGGTAATGTCTGGTGGGGGGGAGCCTTGGGAGGGGACAAATCTACAACAATGAATGAATGGAAATCCAAAGCCTCTGTAAATTTTCACTGAAATTAATAACAAATTTAAATTAAAAAAAAGAATTAAGTTAGAGTAAGGATGGCAATGGAGGCACCTTACCTCTGTAACTTGATTTGTGCCACTATTAGAACCTCTACTCAGAATATTATTGCTTTTCAATTTTTGACTCATGCACTTTTAACTTGTTAGTTAAATTTGTATCTTCTAGGCTGCAACACTTCCATGATACATCTTCAAGGATATGAACATGTACGGCTAAGCACAAGTGATAACAGTGCATCTAAATTCCAAAATCAATCTCCATAATAGTCTATGTGTTTCTTACTGCCAAAGGGGCCCTTTAGAGTAGTGAGAGAAGACCTTCACCCTGAAACCCACAGCGTCCCTTTTCAGCAGGAAGTAGCTAAGAGAATACGCCATCCCTTTTTCCTTATAAATCAGGGTGAAGTCTCTCTCAGGGAGGAGTGATAGGGAATGGCAAAGGACACACTGACAAAGGAGATTAGTCAGAACTGGCTTTGACAAGCACTGTGGCAATTAGACAATTAAAACAGACATGGGGGGGGCAAAGAAGAACGAACTGGGGAGGAGGGTAGAGAGAATGGTGCAGCAATGAAGGAATGAAAACCGCAAATCCCTGTAAATGTTCATTAAAACTAATAAAATTTAATAATAATATAAAAAAGATAAAGTAAGAAAAAAATATTTGAAATACATTTCAAAACATTCACATATGTGCAGCAAAAACAGGTATTTCTCACTCAATCTATCAAATTTAAATTTACTCATTTGCACTGGTGTCCTCACTCCCAAAAATCCTCATTTAGTCCACTACTTTAGGAAATAAAAGCTGTCAACACCCAAATGTGAACAATGGTTGTTCTATTCTTAACCTTAACAAATATCTTATTCTACTCACTCAGCTTTTATGGTTCCAGTCTCTACCACCCAATGAAAAATTATTGTCAACATATGTCTTGCACACATTTAATAAAACTTTTCTATATAAAACACTTTAAAAAAATTACCTTTGATCTTTTGTTTGGTGTATATGCTTTTGCATTGCTAAAGATCAACCGGATATCTTTGCAAAATTCCAACGGGCTGTCATAATTTCCTGCTTCCAGTGTTTCTCTTACTGTTCCAAAATCCATTGGGGTATCTATAATATCTCGATAGTCCTAAGTTTTAAAACCAATTTAGTTCATAAATTACTTCTTTTAGAAATGTAAATGGACTAGATCTATAAAGTTCCAAAATGATAAAGGAAGAAAAAGACTAAAAATACCTTCAATATCATTAATAATTTTTCAAAGCAATAGACCAAAACATTCCTATGCTGGTAATGAGATTTGCAGTGAATTTTATTTCCTTTTAATAGTCTTTTATAACTTCAAGGTTATTATACTAAATTTGTGTTTTACAAGATAAGCTTTGGTTTTTCATCTGTTTTTAAGTCATCTTCCATTCCACTAATAGAGTGAAATTTTTTTTACCCAAATTCAGTTTCACCATGGCTAGCACATTATCTAATAACCAGACAACTGTCAGGAATTGCTCACTAATATAGAACACTGATTCAACCTAGTTTTAATGTTTTAATTATTAGGGTGTCTATATATTCATGAAAGCTATGAAAAACAACTCGTTTTTAATAAATAACCTTGTACCATTGACTCAGTAGTAACTGGGAAAAATTATCATAAAATTTAAATACCTTCTTGAAGTTTAATTTCTTAAACAACTCTATCACAATCTCCTCTCCATACAAAAAAAGAATCCCCAATTTTTTAACAATCATAACTTACTGGATATTCAACCAAATCAACAGGTTGTCTAAATGGTTCAGAATCTTCACACTGAAAAATTAAGTTCACTAATTCCTCACACTGTTTTTTCCAGTTGGTCGCAACGTAGTTGGCTGCTTTGCTGCTCCTTTTTTTCCAGTCATGAACCTAAAAAATATGTTCATAATATTAAAATGCTTTTCAGTCTTAGTACTGTATTACGATTACAGTAAAAATGCAAATGAGTTATTTTCTTCTGTAGGGTACTTTAAGATTACACTTTTTTCAGAAGCATCTACAAGTGTTATAAGACTATTCAAAGTAGTATCTGGCAATTCACACAAATTTTGTGACAAAAAATCATGAAAAGCATGCTTCACCCCAGAGCACATTATCCAGTAAAACTCTACCCTACCATCTTGATGCCTATAAAATTGATCTAAAAAAAAGAAAACTTTCTCATTTGATACACTGGGATACAGATGTTATGAATTAGATTGTGCTCCTCACAATATGTGTGATAAACAATATAATAAAATAGGTTTTAGTCATAAATGTAATCTCATTTGGGAATAGGAGTTGCTTTGTTGTGTCAATAATGCCTTAACAATATAGGGTGTTTATATCACTTTTGAAAAATGGAAAAAAGCTAATTAGACAAGAAAATGAAGATGAGAAGATAAAAATGTTGAGGGACAAGACGCTCAAAGAACCGAGCAACAAATGCTGAAAGAAGACAAGAACTATCTTTTTCCAGATATGGTGCCCTGACTGAACTTCCAGCTTCCCAACAGTCAGATATGACATTTCTATTTCCCAACACTTAGATACTAAATTTCTATTATTAAAATTACCCACTAGTAGTATTTCTGTTTCACCACTAGAGAGCTAACACAGCAGAAAAATGTCCATGTCATTACCGCTAAAAATCTTTGAATATTCTCAATCTTAAACATGAATTCTTTTGTTTTCAATGGTACCAACATTTCCTTCCAAAGTGAGATTCAGAGACTGCCACTTTGCTCCAACATTAAACCTCTACCCAGGTCAATGATATTAGTTAGCTCTTGGATGTATCATATATTCCTGCTTGGGTATCATTATTTATGATACTGTTTTAATTTCTCCTGACTTCATCTAGTTTAGAAAACAGCTCAAATTTAAACTTCTACACTAAACTTTTCATACTTATCAACCAGCTTAAAATTATTTCTTCCATTTCTCTTTTAAAATGTTTAAAATGTGTACAAATATATAAATTTCTAATCTGAATATTTATACCTAATTATGTAAAATTGTAAGTTAATTTTAAATACAGGTCAACCAAGTGAGATTAACTTACTCTCCTTCCAGAAGATGTTTTAGGAAGATCACTATCATCCTAGGAACAAAATTAGAAGACTTTAAATTTGGCCATCTCAATAGAAACATAATAATCTTAACAAAAAGTATTTTAAAAACACTCAAAGCTTCAACAGCAAAATTCCAAAAAGACTATGAGATCATTTTTATGGCACTCACACCCCAAAAACTAACCAGTCTTTGCATTCTCAATGAATAATGCATTAATTACTAATTTAGAAATTTAGCTACGAAAAGGAGTTTTTTTTTTTGCAGAAAAGAGAAAATACACAGCTTTAAATGTCTGTTTTTCTTTCTACCTGTAGAACCACATAAACAGTGATAGTTAATGTGTCAACTTCTCTAGGCCAGGATTTTCATTAAGTATAACAGATTGTATGTAATCCTCTTCTATTTTGTGATCAAGTAAGAGCAGCCAATCAGTAGGAAGGTTAGTTTTGAGATATAGCCTATATCAAATATATATGGACGTTCTGGGAAAGCTTGCCAGCTTGCATGAGCTAATATGCACTTGTATATTTGCTCACTCAATCCTACATCGAGCTCATCATCATCCTCTGACCTTTAGATCCCAGGATGTAAACCTGCTTGACCTGCAGGTTTTAAATGCAACAACTCTTACAACCACATTAGTCAGGAGAAGTCCCTAGACTGCTTCCTGACCTAAGGATCTGGGACTTGCCAGCCTCCATTATGTGTAAGCCATTTCCTTGAACTAAATCTTTCTCCCCACACATTAACACTGGTTTTACTCCTCTATAGGAGCTAGTCTAAGACAACCACAATCATTCAGAATGCATGGATCCTATATACATTTTAGGAATTTATTATATCATCAATTATATATTAGTATGTCTACTTTAATTTCAACATGAATTAACATAAAAATTAGTCTACTATAGGCACAGCATGTGTAGAAATTGAAAGGATACCGTTTTTCCTTCCTTTTTGAGTACCACTGAGTCTGATCAGACTGGCACAAGAGATTTCCCCTCCTTCTCCATCAGAGGATCTGGTGGATTCAAACTGCATGCCTTTGGACTGCAGCACAGCTTCTTCCCACTAGGCCACGAGAGCTCCCTACAAGGTACTTTTTACAACATATGTCTTGCCACTAGGCCACCAGAGCTCCCTCCAAGGTACTTTTTACAACATATGTGTTACATGCATACATAATATTTTTTCATACATAATATTTTCAATTTAAATGTATTCTATTTATTTAACCTCAATAATCACATCCTATTTATTCTAAAATAATCCTATTTTAATAGTTAAAGTATAAACAGCAAAAATTGCTATTAGGGAACTAACATTTTTTCAGTATTATTTTGGTTTAATTTTGAGAAGAACAAACAAACCACTAATAGAAAATTCATAAATTTCAATATAAACATAAAAATACTGTCAAATAGAAAATTTACAAACTTCTTACCAAATCTTCAGCATTTTCTTCATCATCTTCAGAAGTGTTAGTAAGTTCTGAGATATTTGTACAGTCTTGATTCCTGAAAAAGATTTCTTTTTTAATAGCATGTAGATATGCTTTATTCTTTTGAAGGATTCAAAATATACCTTAAAATGTAAATCACTTCTCAGTCTAAAGATACCTAATTTCAAATTCAAAACTACCAGGTTTTAGCCAAATACTCCGAAAATAACCAATTATCTCAATACCTATTTTACAATCTTTACATTTTTTCCTTTTAATAGCTACAAAGAAAAGGGTGATATGAAACGAAAACTATAGTTTGGTTTACCTACGAAAAAGGTTTGCCTTGAGCATTAACATGCTGCTTTTAAAACTATCTACATAGAATCAAACTGACAAATTCAACTGAAAACATTTGGTAAGAACCTTATGTAGTAGTGAATTTATGTTAATAAGGGAAAAACAACTTGGAAAAGAAGTGTGAGAATAACTGTTCAACTCAAACAACATGTCATTAAATTGTATACTTCTGGATTGGTGTATTATATCTTATATATATTCTCAACCACAAAATAAATTAATTCTTTTTAAAAAGGATGATTTGAAAAAACAGAAGGAAAAAAATAAATTCTACTAGCCTCACTATAAGCACAGTCATGAAAAGAATGCTAAAGTAAAAACAGCTGATCATCAAAGAGATGAAATTGGTATATCATCTTCCAATCATAGAAACTAAGACTGTTTGGCAGAGAAAATGATGAAGTCAGAGACCTCCAGATTTCAGGAAGCCTCTATTCAAAAGTAAGATGAAACATAACCATTTATTCCCTACTTTTTGGTGACGTGATGAAAAAGGTATCACTTTTTATAAATTGTTTTCTCTTCTCAAATATGTTCATGGAAAGAATTTTTATAGCTTAAAAAAAAAAGAGTATGAAAACTTATACAACAAAACTCACAATCATTAAAAATGACTGATGTTTATTTGTCCTAAGGGACAAAGAATGGTCACTCAAACCAGAACAGTTCAGAACCTGGATCTGAATTTCCTCAATTCTAGCACTCTAGAACAATTTTTTAGGACAACAGAACGTATGAAATAATCATTAGAGTACCAACACTTTTGACAGAATACAATCCAAAATAACACTGAAACAAAGCAATCATGAGAAAACATACAAACACAAATTAAGTGCAGACTACAAAACAAGTGACCAATACTCTTAAAAAATAGTTAGGTAAAAACAACTATGAGGTATCATCTCACCCCAGTCAGAATAGCAAAATGTAACAGAACAGCAAACAACAAATGCTGGCCAGGTTGTGGAGAAAATGGAACCCTTATTCGCTGCTGGTGGAAATGTAAAATGGTATAACCACTGTGGAAGGCGGTGTGGCACTTTCTCAAAAAGTTGCGAATAGAGATAACTATTTGACCCAGCAATTCCACTACTGGGAATAATACCCCAAAGAGCCTATAACTGCCACCTAGGTAGATATATGCACAACCATGTTTATCACAGCTTTGTTCACAATAGCAAAGAGTTGGAAAAGTGCCCATCAACAAACAAACGGATAGAGAAGCTATGGTATATTCACACAATGGAATATTGTGCTGCATTGAAAAAAACAAGGAATTCATGCAATATTATTCAAAATGGGTGATCCCGGAGGACACGATGCTGAGTGAAGTATCTCAGTCACAAAAGGACAAATACTGCATTGTGCCACTGTTGTAAAAGAGGACTGACATCGGGTTTGGGAGGAGACTAAGAAAGATGGGATAAATAATGTATACTGCATTGAAACAGATGAAGGAGAAAACTGTTTAAAGGGATAGATGATAGGGTGTTATGGTTATCACAAGAGTCCAGAATTAAGGTTGCATAGTGGAGCGTACTAGGTGGGGGGTGTGTGTGTGGGGGGGAGATTGTATACCAATGAAAGAGTTTTACTTTTCAAAGAGGAGCAAACTGGGGGGAGGGGTGGGCAGGGGGAAAAGTGCAACAATGAATGGAAATCCAAAATCTCTGTAAATGTTCATTAAAATTAATAATTTTTTTTTAAAAAAAGGTAGTGAAATACAAGGAAAGATTATGCAACAGACTGAAAATTGTAATGAAATGTGGATCCTGAATTGAATCCTCAAACAGAAAGGGAATGAAGATGTAAAAATCCAACTTCCACATTCCATTTAGTACTATATAAATGTTATTATCTCAGTATTTTCCTAGGTGTACTATATACCATAGTTATGTAAAAATGTTACCATAAAAAACAAGTGGACTCACACCTATGCTTACAGCAGCATTACTCACAATAGCAATGAGAAGGAAACAGCCCAAGTGGCCACAGACAAGCAAATGGATAGGGAATCAACAGTATATTCACACAATGGAATATTATATAGCACTAAAAAAACAATGAACTCGTAAAACACTACACAACGAAGATGAGTCTGGAAGACATGCTGAGTGAAATACCTCAGTCACAAAACGACAAATACTGCATAAACGTGCTGTTTTAATAACAGAATTGGAACAAGGAACTCATGCAATATTATTCAAAATGGTTGACTCTGGAGAACATTATGCTGAGTGAAATATCCCAGTCACAAAAGGACAAATATTACATGATGCCACTGTTGTAGAATGGGACTGTCCTTGGGGTTGGGGAGACACTGAGTAAGATGGGTTCAATAATGTATACTGCACTGAAGCAGAGGAGGGAGAGAACCGTCTAAAAGAGAGATGTAACTGGGTATTTCTGTCATCACAGGAGACTAGAGCGAGGGCTGCATGGTGGAGGGGACCTGGGGGAGGGTTTGTAAAACAATGAAAGAATCTTTTCTTTTACTTTTCCATAATTTTTGACTCATGTACTTATAACTTGTTAGTCAAATTTGTGTCTTCTAGGTTGCAACACCCCCATGATACATCTTGAAGGATATGTACATGTACAGCCAAGCACAATCAATAAGAGTGCATCTGAATTCCAAAATCAATCTCCATAATAGTCTATGTGTTTCCTACTGCCAAAGGGGCCCTTTAGAGTAGTGAGAGAAGATCTTCACCCTGAAACCCACAGCGTCCCTTTTCAGCAGGAAGTAGCTAAGAGAATATGCCGTCCCCTTTTCCTTATGACTCAGGGTGAAGTCTCTCTCAGGGAGGAGTGATAGGGAATGGCAAAGGATACACTGACAAAGAAGATTAATCAGAACTGACTTTGACAAGCACTGTGGCATTTGGACAAGAACAAACTGGGAGGAGGGTAGAGAGAATAGTGCAACAATGAATGAGTGGAAGCCCAAAATCTCTGTAAATGTTTATGAAAATTAATAAAATATAATTATAGAAAAAAAAAAAAAGGATGGGAAGGGAGGTGGAAGGATATGCAAAGAATGGATAGATAATGAACACTGTACTGGAACAGGTGAAAGGAAAAATTTGAAAGGAATGGATGATTAAAATTTATGTGTATGACTATTAATAGCTTGACACACGACAGTCATCATAAGGGAAATTGAAGTAATGAGGGAAAATATGTGTGACTAATGAAAGCCAATCTCTTTATGAACTTTCACTAAACTAAAAAAAGGCAAATTAACCCCCAAAATGTGAGTGATGAGAATGCGAAAAATCTTCAGGAATATAAATTGCTAAAAATTTTTTAAAAGCGGAAAAATAGTTTATTTGTTATTTTTTTTACTAAAATGATAATATATAACAAAATGTAATTTAAAATCAGATTTTAAAAAAGGTGTGGTTCAGAAAAAAACTGGGTAGTTTTAAGAGCACAGTAGGCAAAAAACATTTTCCACCGCATGTATAATCTAAGTAACATACTTGATTAACTTTAAAAGCTGATCAGTTATCTTCTTAGCTGATTTTGCAATTACACTTTCAGGTTCATTAAATGTTCTGGCGTTATGTTCAATATATCTTACTTCCCAAACTAATGCAGATAATCTCCTTCAAAAAAAAAAATTAGCAAAGTTAGAGTTTGGAAAATGAGATTAAGTTAAAAAAGCAATTTTTCTTTGTATAATAATTATATTGAACCAGCATTACCAATTGTTAGATTTAAAGGGCAAAGTTAATGAATAAAGTTTTAAGGCTGTCATCATGATCATAATCATAAACAATTATTCTGAGAACTAAACTCCAGAAAATGTACTTAACAATCAAAGTCTAAGATATCCATATTATCACATGTTGTTGTTGTTGTTATGTGCCGTCGAGTCGTTTGCAACTCATAGCGACCCTATGTACAACAGGCCTAAACCCTGCTCTGTCCTGTGCCAATCTCATTGCCTCTGACACACCCATCCCGAGTACCTCAGTCACTGAATCAATCCACCTCACAGAGGGTCTTCCCCTCCTGCACTGTCCCTCCACTCTGCCCAGCATGTCACATATAAAAAGTCAAAAAAGCAGCCCTGTATTCAAAGTACTAATAGAAACGTTCTAAAGATACTGAGACTCAATTAAAAACTATCTTAAATACCATAATTTATAAAAAGCTTATCTGAATATAAACTGGCAAAGCAGGGGTATATTTTCATATTTTGATGTACACTTACATGTTTAGCTTATGAAGTAAATCATATTGAGTATGTGCACACTAGGTGCAAGTTTTTTCCAATAGTAATAATTTATTTTAAGTAATAAACTATTATCAACTGCTAAGATGTCATTTGGAGTAAGAAATTTTCTAGGTAACTGTTTCAGAAAACAAAGATTAAAAGATACTACTGAGTAATTACACTTTTATTAATCCAAATTGAAATATATTTTCGAAGAGAGAAGTTAAATAAGAATACTAACTTAAAGAGTATTAACAAAACAAAACTTATCATTGAGTATAATTTGCAAAAAAATACACTACACTAAAAATACACTAGTTCAAGGATCAAGACATGATTATTCGGTTTCACACCTGGTTCAGTTCCCACCCATTCCTAAGCATCTAACAAAATGCTCTTAACACAGAGAATTAATAAATTAATGTAGTGAGGAAAAAGAGAATGAAAAATAAAACATTAGTCAGCCCCATATCCACTGATACTATCTATCAACCACGACTACTTTTACCTTCATACTTTAGTTTGTACCACCAATATCTTTTCATAATTTCAAACTCTTTGCTTTAAGTAGATTTCTACTAACCTGTAAAATCGATTAACAAGCCTCATTCGAATTGTGTAAAGATCAGTAGGATATGCTACCACTGTACAGTACTTCGGGTAGGTACACAGATCAACTGGGCCTGCAAAAGCTGCTGCTATATCTGTCAGGGGAGAAAAGTTTTTAATTCATAAATTCATGATCTCTAGACATTTCTTTCTCTAGTCATTATAAAATAGCTACATTAAAAACAACAGGCTACACAAAAAGATAAAAAATGCATAACATAATAACAGATTTTTAAAATTACATTTTATGAAAATACCGATGGAAAAGAAAACCTGAATATAACCTTTTCAAAATAAAAAACTTACCAAGATTCAAGAGTTGATCTATGCCACTGATAATTCGTTCGCATTCTTCATCTCTAGATTTCTGACCCCACTCACCAGCTTGTGGCTTGTAGAGCAATTTTTCTAACTCATCTGAAGTGACAGAAATACTGGCTCCTAATTCCTCAGGTGGATCAACTATGAATTCCATGCAAAAGGCAAGACAAACGGAGCAGGGAGCAGATAAAACAATACAATGAATATATATGGTTTTAAAGTTAATACTCAAAAATCATCTACAATGCTAAGAATAAATGTTCAAATTCTTGTTTCTTTTTAGTGTTCAAATTCTTAACTTTGAAAACTATGAATTTAAAATAGGAAAGGGGTTAAATTAAATACCAGCAATCAATATACTGTGCTGGGATTAAAATTAACCCTAAAGATGTCATCACTGACACTTTAAATCTACTTCTCAAAGAGGAAAAGCTATCTCAGAGAACTATAAATCAAAAATTAATTGAATCTGAGCATATTTAAAACCTTATATATAATCAAACTTTAATTTTTAAAAATTTGAGACAAAAATGTAAAATAATCACAACAGAACAAATGGAAAAATTCCTATAAACAAATTCAAGAAAGGCTTAATTTTTTTTTTACTTGAATGAATCATATTAGTTTCTGACATAAACTTTCACACATTTCATTTATTAACATTATGATAGATTAATGTAAGTTAATAGCAATAGTTATATGCTGCTCTTTCTATGACTCATAAGGACCCTGTGAACAACAGCTCTGAATCTCACCTCATCCTATGCCACCCTCACCATCTGAGAAGCCCCTTCCTATGTACTGTCCTTCAATTCATCTAATTTTCCTATTTTTACTCCCCTCTCTCTTTCCAACCCTGTTAACCCTCCATGATTGAATATATGTGTGTAAACCTTTCCAGAGGAAAAATAAAACACCAAACCTCAAATCAAACTCATTTCCATCAAGCCAATTCATAGCTGACCTTAATCACACCAGCAAAGATTGTCTATCGTTCTCTAGCAAAGCTACTGATATATTTGGAGCACCACAGGGGCAAAGCTTTGGGATTACGAACACAACTCCCTACAGCCCAAAGCACTATACCTGCCTAAAGTGTCCCTTATAAAAGTGGTCTTATACCATATTGTCTTTTTTTAGACTGAATTATAAACTCTCTTAGCATAATTTGTTCTAGATTCATCCATATTGTACCAAATTTCAAGAATACTTGATCATATTTAAATGATGCATAATGCTCCCCTGAAAGAAGGTACCATAGTTTCTTTAGCTATGTATCTGTTAATAAATTAGCTAAAGAAACTTTGACACTTCGGGTATTCCCAACTCTTCGCTACTGTAAATAATGCTGCTATGAGGGTCTAGGATCTCAGTTTGTTTCATAAGTTTTATTTCTTGACCTATATATCTAGTTGTAGTAGGATTAGGGAGATCATTATAATGCCCTAGTGCGTAAGAAATTGCACAACTAATCCAGGGCAGAGTTCAAATCCACCAGCTTCTCTGAGGGAGAACTGGGCAATCTCCTCCCATGTCATCTGTTGTTGTTGTTAGGTGCTGTCAAGTCAAATACAACTCAGAGTAACTATGAACAACACCTGAAAACCATCTGATTCTGTGTCATTCCTCATTGCATCTGACCTATTTAAAACTCCACTACTGCTGTCACTGCGTCAATCCATCTTTAAGGGTCTCCTCCTTCACTGACATTCCTTGAATGTTCTCCCTTTACAACGAATAGCCTTATCCTAGCAACATGCTCAAGAGTGTGTGAGAAGAAGCTTCGTATTCAAAGAGCATTCTGGGGCTAAACCATCTCCAAGGCACAGCCATTTGATTTTCTGGCAGTCCAAGGGAATATTCAGTGTTTTTTCCCAATACTCAAATGCAGTAGTTCTTCTGTCTTCCTTATTCACTGTCCTGCTTTCTGACACATAGTGACTGAAAAGATCACAGCCTAAATAAGGTGGACCTTAGTCTTCAAACCAACATCACTGCTCCTCAGTAATTTGGAGAGGTCCCTGACAGTGAACTTTCTTTTCCAATTCAATATGTTTCCTAAACTCCAGACTGCTGGTACCAAGGGTTTTGACTGTGGATCCAAGTAGAATGAAATCACTGACAATTTCAATCTTTTTTTCTATCATGTTCCTTATTAGTTCACTGGTGAGAATTTGTGTCTTATTGATGGTAAGATACATCCATATTGAAGGTGGGAGTCCTTGATCCTTTGCAGTAAGCATTTCAAGTTCTTCCTCACTTTCAGCAAGCAAGCCTGTGCCATGTGCATGATGCAGGTTGCTGATGAAGCTTCACTGATTCTGATGCCACATTCTTCGTCATAGTCCAGATCCTTAAGTGATTTGCTAGACATACAGACTGAACTGGTATGGCCTAAGGATACAACCTTGATGCATATCTTTCTTGATTTTAAACCATGCAGTGTTTCCTTGCTCCATCAGGACAACAGTTTCTTAGTCTAGATACAGGTTTCTTACTACAAAATTCAGAGGTCTGGGATTCCCATTCTTCTCAATGTTAGCCAGGTTTGTTATAATCCACATGAATGCTTTTGTATAGTCAATATAACATAAGTATACATTCTTCTGTCATTCTCTGCTTTTATCCAGGATACATCTGACATCAGGAAAGATACCCCAGGTGTGGCGGACTCATCTCCTCTATTCAGCTGACAAAGCAACTATCCTTTCATGTAATTTACAGCCTATGAAAACCTGCTGAAGAGTCAGCTATAAGGTGGTTCCAAACTGACAACAATTAAAGTTGAAGATAGTAATAGGATTCCTGGATGAAGATGCACTGTAACACACTGTGTTGTGTGTAAGAGAGAGAGACTTTGTCAAATCAACGTTTCTTTGGTAATGTTCCTCTGAGAATTTTATAGTTGGGTGATTTTTCTTGTTGAGATGTTGGAAATATTTTACAAATTTTATAAATAAGTCCCCTTTCAAATGTTTCAATGCCAAACATTTTTCCCTAGTCTATAATTTCTTACTGATATTTTTTTGAGGAATATTCTCATACATATAAGGATTTTAATTTTTAGGAAGTCCCAATGAACTAGTTTATCTTCTAATGACTGTACATTTTCCATTGTATTTGATAGTCTACTTATGCCAAGCTTACGAATTCTAAGTTTACCCCATTTCATCCAGTAATTTTTGTATTTCAGGTTTTACACCTAGACCCTTAATCTTGTATTGGCTTTCATATATGGGGAGAGATAAAAGTTCTGTCTCTAGTTGTCTAGTTTTGCCAGCATCATTTGTTAAAGCACCAGGGAGCTAGGGTGGCCTAGTGGTAAGAAGCTGAGCTGCAATCCCAAAACATGTGGTTTGAATTCGCCAGCTGCTCCACAGAAGGATGGGCAATCTCTTTCTGTGTGATTTATTGTCTCTGAATATCCGCTAGAGTCAGCCACAGGTTAGAGCCTACTCAATGACATATACCAACGTAACTTTTATTAGAGAGTTTGCAGCAAAAAGGTTCCAATAAGCCAAAGTTAAGTCTGTTTTTCAAAGCATCAATGAGTTAGGGCTGACTCGATGCCACCTGCCATTTATTAAAGAAGTTGTCTTTTGTCCGGTCATTGATTTAATCTCTTTGTCAAAGATTAGCTGTCCATAAGTGGACAGATGGATTTACTACTGGATTCTCAACTCTATTACAATGATCTATGTATCTATCGCTATACCAATACCTAGCTGATGTGAATGAACACTCTGGCTGTGTGTTGTTATTATTAAGTGCCGTCGAGTCATTTGTGACTCATAGCAACCCTGTGTACAATAGCCCTAAACCCTGCTCTATCCTGGCTGTGTAGCAGATTTTAAGATCAGTAAGTGTAATCCCCTACTTTGTTACTTCCTCAATATCCCTTTCCTTATCTTGGTATCTTTCCTTTCAATCTTGGTAGTTACTTAGTTCATTTATTTGAAAAATGATGATAGGATCAGGATGGCACTGTATTTATTTGGATGTATTGCTTTTGGTTGTAATAGTTTTCACAATGTTAAACCTTCTAACTCATGAGCATGAAATGTTTTTCCATTTATGCAGGTCTCTTTGGGTTTGCTGCAGTAGTGCTTTGTAGTTTGCTTTGTACAGGTCTTTTGCATCACTGAAAAGATTTCTATATATTTTGCTTTATATATATTTTATATATATTATTTCTATATATTCTATATATTTCTTTTTTCTGAGTGACTGTTATAAATGACATTATTTTCTTTATTTCCTTCTCAGAGTTCTTTTGGTTACTACACAGGAATTCAGCTAATTTTTTATGATTTTGTTCCCTGCCTCACGGCTGAATGTCTAGTAGTTTTCTTGCTGAGACCTTGGGATTGTCTCCATATAGAAGAGTATCATCTACAAATGCACTTTTACTCCTTCTTTACCAATTTGGGTGCCTTTTATTTCCTTTTCTTGTCTTACTGCTTTGGCTAGGAATTCCAAAACAATACTCAACAAGAGTGATGACAAAGGGTATACTTGTTTTGGCCCTGTTTACAAGGAAAATGTCTTCAATCTCTCTCTGTTGAGTAATTAAGACAAGCTTTCTATCATTATTAGTAATAATAGGTTATTTATCACTTGTAGTCTTCTCTGGTTGTTAAATATCCAGTATCAGTAAACATGGAGAAACAAGAATTTTCATACTCAGTTGGTAAAATAAATTGGAGACAATTTTTAAGAGAAATTTGTAGCAAAACATGTAATAAATGTCCTTTAGTCTATCAACTAGAAATTGCCCCATAGTTACAGAAGTATAACAAAGTATCTGAGAATACTCATTCAAGTAGAATTACTAAGTACAAAAGTAAAACAATAAAATGAAAATAAATGTTGTAGAAGGATACTGGTTAAATAAACATTCTTAAGAGAGATCTAAGCATCACAACAAGATAAAGGTAACGAATCCAATAGAAAAATGGGCACAGGATATGAATAGACACTTCACCAAAGATGACATTCAGATGGTTAATAAGCACATGAAGAAATGTTCAAAATCCCTAACTCTAAGAGAGATGCAAATCAAGACAACGATGAGATATCACCTCACTCCAGTCAGAATAGCAAAATGTAACAGAACAGCAAGCAACAAATGCTGGCCAGGTTGTGGAGAAACTGGAACCCTTTTATTTACTGTTGGTGGAAGAGTAAAATGGTGCAACCACTATGGAAGGCAGTGTGGTACTTTCTCAAAAAGTTGCAAATAGAGATGTCATTTGACCCAGCAATTCCACTACTGGGAATATACCCCAAACAGCCTATAACTGCCACCCAGGTAGATATATGCACAGCCATGTTTATCGCAGCTTTGTTCACAATAGCAAGGAGTTGGAAACAACCCAAGTGCCCATCAACAAACAAACGGAGAGAGAAGCTGTGGTATATTCACACAATGGAATACTACGCTGCACTGAAAAACAAGGAACTCATGCAATATTATTCAAAAT